AATTTCGCCCACTTCCCTTCCACGATCATGCCCAATCCATCCCCATTTACAGACTTTCTTATCCTTGACAATTTTTGTATTGCTTTGTGGTTTGCCACAGGTCTTTTATATGAAAATTTCTCAGGCCTTCTTATCTTACAAATCTGTCGTAAACATTTGTTTGTTAACAAATGTAGCTGGCTGTGTTTTCCTGGGTAATCCTCCATGTCTGCAAGCCATAGAGCTATATTGCCCGAACATTTGTTTTGAAGCTTCTTGGAGTGACAGCAGAGGCGTAGCGACCCTTCCCGGCGCCCGGGGACAAACTTTTAATTTGGGCGCCCCCCCCCCCCCAATATATGTTTTATATTTATAATGCAAAAGTGCAGCTAAAATAAGCTTTTAATTTTTTTTCCAACCCATTTTGGCGCCCCCTAGGGTCGGCGCACTGGGACATATGTACCCCCCCCCCTCGCTACGCCTCTGAGTGACAGAGATGTAAAAATCCAAGTCGGGTATAGTGAGCTGAAGGCAAATCTTGCCATGTCGATACCACTTTTAATGTCTTCCATCCTTTCTTGCTGCTCATTATTCAGACCTACATAGTGAAGGATTAATTACTTTTATGGAACATGGACAAAAAAGCTTGATGATACGTTTCACACAGTGGCGTAGCGAGGTCGGGTGTCACCCGGTGCGGCACTTAATGGTGTCACCCCCCCCCCCCCCCAGAGGCATAGAGACCCCTTCCCAGGGACAAACTTTCAAATTTTCGATTTGCACCCCCCATCAAACTTTCGATTTGCACCCCGCCCCCCCTCGAGTTTTCGATTTGCACCCCCCCCTCAAACTTTCGATTTGCACCCCCCCCCCCTCGAGTTTTTCTCTATATATTTTCCTATTTTTTGCATTGGTGTCACCCCCCTAAATGGTGTCACCCGGTGCGCTCCGCACCCCCCCCCCCTCGCTACACCCCTGGTTTCACATTATACAGGATTTAACTAGGGTTGCCAGATACCTTTTCCGAAAATACTGGACACCTTTCCATCCTTCCCTTCTCAGGTGTGCCGCAAAGCAGAAGAAGGGGGGTAACAGAGTATTATTCATATACGTGTCCAGTATTTATATTTATTTTATCCTGGACAGTCTGCTCAAATACTGGACTGTCCAGTTCAAAACTGGACACCTGGCAACCCTAGATTTAACAGTTTCATAATCCCACCCTTAGACTAATTACCCAATGCTATTTAGGCGACATTACCCACTGACCCAAAAAGCCAATTTTAAGACTTAACCCCGCATCCCTCCCCCCCCCCCCTCCCCATGTCGGATGTGACGGCGTGGTTAGAGGATAGAGCGTAAGACTTCCAGTCCGAAAGTCTCGAGTTCAAATTCCAAGGTCGTCCCTGCATCCACTCAGCTCTGATGTGTACCTGGCTAAATTTAGGGAAAGAAAAAAAAAAAAGCTTGTCGTTTTTCTGACCATCCTATCACTTCATTTGTCTCTTCAGTTTTCGGAAGAGAAATTTCAAATAAGTTTATTAAAGCGTTCTGATATCTAACCCTATGCTTTACAAGATCTGTGTATGTAGTCTAAGTTTATGGTTGACTCAACAGCAATATCTTTTCATCTCTAAATTAGGACCCACCATACCTGGAAGCAAAGTTCGACTGTGTAGGGCTTCATATTACGAGGGAAGATGGATCTGTGTTCAGTGCGAAGAAAGACCGGAGAAAGTAAGGACTCACTATTCAGAATATATGTGTAAAGTAAAAAAAAAGATAACAAAAATTATAAAATTCGGAAGATCATCAAATATGTAATTAATTTATCGTATACTGAGTTGGCTTATACGAAAAGTATGAATTCGTTAGAGGGATCGAAATCGATGTTTTGAAAAAGTTTTTCCTTATTTTATGTGTGTCTGCGTGTATGTCTGTAAGGTTTTAACCATGAAAACTTGAGTAGCCTACTGTTTCGTTAACGTCGACGAAAATCCATAAAATATTTTTAAGATCCTTTACGTCAGTTTTTTTTTTCAACTTAACAGCAATTTCATGTACATGGAAGCGATGCCTTACATTATTATTGGTTTCTCAAATGCGCTAAATTAAATACCGTTTCAGTCAGAGTTTCTTCCAGACGTCTCTTCGAGGGGGGGAGAGGGGTGGGGAGGGGGGGGGGGGGAATTTACCGCCCCCCCCCCCCCCGAACGAAATGAAATTTATATAATTTATATAGAAAACATATACTTTTAACAGTGTCCGCCCCCCCCCCCCCCGAAGAAAATCTACCCCCCCCCCCCCGAAAATTTCAAGTCTGGAAGAAACACTGGTTTCAGTTAGGATGGTCAAATACTATATATAAACAAAGGTGTTGCGACATTGAGGCAGCACACAAATTGGCTAAATATTGACAACAATAAAATAATAATAGTAATCTATGTCAATACTCTTATATTGAAATTGTATTATGTTTAGTGGGGCTATTTTTATATTTACGATAAAAAATTTCGTATGA